TCTACTTTCAAAGGCCGTCTTTTAGAAATTCTGCCCAGAGTATGGTCTTCTTTGTCTCTTATTCAATATGAAACTTGAAGGTTATAAGAGGCAGTATAATATATAGGTCTAAACACTGACATTGTATCATAAGAGACAGATGATGGGCATTCTTAACTCATAAATTCTTCTATTATTTGAAAGTATGAAAGCCTGTTTCTCATTTATATTTCTGATGCAGTATCTGAAATAATTTTTTTCCTAGTTCAGGTAATATTAGATAACATGGACCAATCTCAGGAATATAATTAAGACTGCTTTGGTTTTACCCCGATTCCAACTGTTCAGAACAAACAGAATATAATTTATTTCTCTGAAAAAAACTAATAAAATTTAGGTAAGTTTTCCTTCTAAAACACGTAGGATATTATCTTCTGTTCATAAGACCATCCACTTAACCAATTATCCAATCGTACATTTAGATCTTCATTACTTGCAAGAAAACTCTGAGGATGAAAGCCATTGGGTAAGACAGTAGTTAACATCCTCTAATATAGAGAATGTAGCATTACTGGTTCACTACCAAAATCACGCTCCTAAAAATATCCTATCCTCTTGAAGTAACAATCAAATACTTAAAAAAGACATGCTGGGTATCTTAAAATGAGTATGACAGTTAATTAATTCTCTGATCCCCTGCTATCAACCGAGTACTGTACAATCTGTTATTATTCACTGTCCTATAGATCATCTGTTCTTGGTGCTGGTTTGTTCCAGGAAGAGGGACAGCTGCAACACTATATCCCTGTTCAACCTGAGGACCATCTGACTTTAATTGTAACACACAGCTTGATACGGCTCTGGCTATGAGAAGCCGAAGTATCGTCTGTAATAATCTGGAAAAGCAGAAACCTGCCAACAGAGGGCTGAAAACAGGGACTTGTGCTGTCTGGCTGCCTGACGGGCTGCAGGAAATATGATTAATGAGTAAGGTATAATGATATCAGGAACCCGATTAGCACCACAAAAAGGTCACAGATCAAAGTAGTATGCATTTCATGAGCTGCAATCATTGCATAAAATCTGTGGGCTTGAAGAGGTAAACCAAAAAGAGGAGGGAGATGAAACCCTTATGTGACAATATGCTAACCAATACATAAGATACCATACTAACAATTTAGTCACTTGTAGAAAGTTAAAAAGAAATTGCAAAATAAATCAATATAGACTGTATTGTAAGGAAACTTTGTTCATCAGAGATGTAAAATAAATATTTTTGAATGAATGAATGAGGTATTAAATTCTTTCATAAAGGCACATATATGTAAAATCAAGTATCTTTCCTAATTATGAATTAATGTGACCAGATACATAAATACTCAACTCTAAACTATATTTGCATTTAAATTGCAGTGAATTTATACACAGTTCTACTTAGGAATGTAAGCTAATTCAGAGTCTAAACAATGAAGACATCTATAAAACTCAAGCAGTAAGAATCACTGGGAAAAATAGTAAGTAAGCTTAATATAAATGTTATAACAAATGCACAGTTAATACTGCAAAATATTATTTGGCATAGAATTTTACAGTCATGTCCAAGTTTAGAGCATGGGTAGCCAAATTCCAAATCTAGTTGTAAAGCAATTCGGTAAGCCACAATCTTCTTTTCCTTAGTGCCCTTTTAAACCTGTCCCAAGCAGACCCGGCTTTTCTGAGGTGAAGGCAGTGAGGGTAGAGATGGGAGGTATTATTGGGAGAGTGGCTTTCCTTAACTTATGTAATTACATTTTTTACTTGTCAAAACATTGGTGAAAAACTTAATACATAACTTATTCAAATGTTTCTGCCTTTTACAGCTCCTTTAAAGTGAAGTAAACATACTAACAAACTTCTTTATGTTACTAATAATACTAATTATGGTAATGATTAACAGGAAACTGGTACTCGAGACAAAATTTCAAGTCATATTTGAGAAAAAGTGTGTCAATAATAAAATCAGAACATGATTTTTTTCTCAAAAGAAAATTATTGGCCGGGCGCGGTGGCTCAAGCCTGTAATCCCAGCACTTTGGGAGGCCAAGGCGGGTGGATCACGAGGTCAAGAGATCGAGACCATCCTGGTCAACATGGTGAAACCCCATCTCTACTAAAAATACAAAAAATTAGCTGGGCATGGTGGCGTGTGCCTGTAATCCCAGCTACTCAGGAGGCTGAGGCAGGAGAATTGCCTGAACCCAGGAGACGGAGGTTGCGGTGAGCCGAGATCGCGCCATTGCACTCCAGCCTGGGTAACAAGAGCGAAACTCCGTCTCAAAAAAAAAAAAAAAAAGGAAAAAAAAAAAAAAGAAAATTATTATTCACCAATAATGAGGATATTTTGTACTTTTTATATGTAGTGTATTATTTTATATCTATTTAATATTTAGTTAAAACATTTTTAAAATGGTGATTCAAAAGACACCATTAAAAATGAAAATAAAATAGACTAGTTAAAAAATATTTTCAAGATATATGTTGGATAAATAGCTTTTATAGAGAATACATAAAGATATCTTACAATTCAATAAGAAGAAGACAACCCAGCCCGGTGCATTGGCTCATGCCTGTAATCCCAGTACTCTAGGAGGCTGAGACGGGCAGATCACGAGGTCAGGAGTCTGAGACCAGACTGGCCAATATGGTGAACCCTGTCTCTACTAAAAATACAAAAATTAGCTGGACATGGTGGCGCACACATGTGGTCCCAGCTACTCGGGAGGCTGAATCAGAATTGCTTGAACCTAGGAGACAGAGGTTGCAGTGAGCCGAGATCATGCTACTGCTCTCCAGCCTGTGCAACAGAGCGAGATTCTGTCTCAAAAAAAAAAAGAAAAAAGAAAAAAAAAGACAACTCAATTTAAAAATAGGCAAAATATTTGAATATATATGTCATCAAAGAACATGTATATATATATATTAGTAGCAAATAAGTCTGTGAAAAGATGGTTAACAATATTCATCATTAGGGTAATGCAAATTAAAATAACAATGACATACCTATTAGAATGGCTAAAATAAATAAGATTGACAATACCAAGTCTTGGTAAGAATATCAAAAAACTGAAACTTCATACATTGTGGGAATACAAAATGGTAAAAATTTTTATCACATGACCCAGGAATTCCTAGAAATCTATCCAAAAGAAATAAAACAGATGTCCACACTAACACTTACATGCAAATGTTTATAATAGCCCAAACTGGAAAAAAAGTCCATTAACCAGCAAAGATATTTTAAAATATGATATATCTATAAAATGGAATACATCAATACAAAGAAATTACTGATATATGCACAACGTGGATGAATCTCAAAACACATCATGCTAGGTGAAAGAAGACAGGCATCAAAAGACTACATATTGTATGATTCCATTAATATAAAATTTCTAGAAAAGTAGAACTATAGAGACAGAATCAGTGATTGCCTGGAGCCAGCAGGCTGGCTATAGAGAGGCACAAGGGAACTTTTTGTACTCATGTGAGAGTTCCAAAGCTGAACTGTAGTGGTGGTTACATAACTGTGTACACTTACTGAACTCTTTGAATTGTATACTTTAAAAAGTTGAATTTTATGGTACATAGATTGTACCTCAATGAATCTGTTTTAAAAGAAAAATTACTGAAAGAAAAGTTGTAGTATGAATGTACCTTCTATTCACTTCTGTGTGTCCCTGGGGTTGGGGGAGCACATACAACCACAGACACCTGCCACATTTAAAGGTTTGGCATTTCCTTCAATATCTTTCAGAGCAAGCTTAGTCTTCATCTCTCACTTTAATCACAGAAACTTTGCGAGAATCTTTAAAAATTCTTAGGGTAAAAGTAAAATGCAACATATTCCATAAGACTGTGATACAATAATATTTTCTGTATAATACACTATTTTCTGAGTGCCTACTATAAGCCAGAGACTATTCTAGGCATTTTACATACATAATTACAATCATTTATTCATAATTTCAAAATTACAAATGAAGAAACCAAGGCTCAGAAAGGTTAAACTGGTAAGGTCCCATAATCAACAATGTGATTGATAAAGGACTGGAAAACCTGGTCAGGTTCCAAAGCTTACATATTCTTTCAACTCCCCTGCATTGTTTCCAGTATATATAGAGTGTAAAATTTCAATAATAATGAGATTGTAATAAAGATGTGGAAGATATGACTAATTGTTAGCATGAAAAAAAAGGAATGTCACCTAAAAAAATACAACAATTTTCCTTTTTTATGAGTAAAGTAAAAACACAATGCCTCCCAAGTAGCTGGGATTACAGATGTCCCAGCTAATTTTTGTATTTTTAATAGAGACAGGGTTTCACCATGTTGGTCAGGCTGGTCTCAAACTCCTGACCTCAGGTGATCTGCCTGCCTCGGCCTCCCAAAGTGCTGGGATTATAGGCGTGAGCCACCGCACCCAGCCAAGATTTTACTTTTAAATACTGAGAATAAAGCTCCCTGATTCCAAACTTCTGTGAAACTTAAAAGGCAAAAAGGAAAAGCCATATTAATGTCTCAAAAAGAATACTGAACCCAGATAATAAAGGACACTAAAGAGTTCACTAAAGAGGATACCAAAGAGTTGTTTGTAAGCACAAATTTAATGTGCTTTTAAGTTTTAAAGTTTTCATATTCTTAATATTATGTGAAGATTTCCTTCGAAAGATAAAGGATATAATTTCAAAATCTTGTTTCTATTAATCCCAAATTCACTTCTAACCTTCACTTATAATTTTGAATTATCATATATATATTAATCTAACTTAAATTCTGCATAAGAGAAACTATTATTTTATATATCAACTCAACAAAATTTCATAAAGTATATACAGGGATTCATGAGCTATTATGTCACTTTCAGTTAGTCTATCATCTACAGGTTTGTCCAGAAGAGCAAGGGTTAATGATTATACACCAACACATGAAAGATGCTTTGAGCAAAGGCTCATGACAGACAGAGTAGATGATTACTATCTTACCAATCTGTTTATGTGGACAAATTCTTCTGAGGTTTTGGCCCAAGGAGGAAGTTCGACATCAGACACTACTGTCCCATCATCCATCACTCCAAGATTATAATTATTGAAGTTGACAAACATCTCTGGGAGATAATAAAATTCAGGGATCAACTCCTACATAAAAATAAAAGACAATGTGATATAAATGGTAGGATATTGACTAGATATTCAAAAAAAGGACCTGATCATTTTCTGTTGTTCAGAAGAACAAAATAAACACAGTGAAATTTTTTTTTCATTGAATATCATAGCCTTGTCACAGTTTCTCATAAGGCAGACAGATCCTATCCAACCCAATTTAAATAACATCTTACTTGTATAAATACATCTCATAGGCTTTCCTTCATGACATGTCTCATAACCTCAAAACTCTTAAACAGAAATATTTGAGTAATAACTGAGGTTTGACAAGATATAAACAGAAATTACCATGCTGTAACAATAATGACAACCTAACTAGATTTTTTATGAGGTATATGGAATTTTTGCCAGAAAACCCCAAAATCTTTATAAGCATTAAAATGCCACTGCCTTGGTCTCTTCATAAACCAGAAAGATAATTACATTTTAGCCATGGTTTATCAGTACATTTTCCTCACGCTTCAAAACAGTCAAGTTTAAAGATACCAACTCTGACAAAAGATCAAAATTTATAATTGGTCTAGAAAATGACTTGCATGAGAAACTGAGTAAATACAATATGTGACTTCAGTAACAACATTTAATAAGCAGAAAAATGCAGCTGTTTAGCCCTTTGTGTGTAATAAACCCCATATATAACTATTTCAGAGGCTCTGAAGATCAGACTTAAAATCCAGTCTTGACATGGGTCAGTGGTTCAGTGGTCTTTCAGATACCCCCTCAGGGCCAGCTATGGCAGGCCCGGCTTTCCAAACAGTTGAGTAAAATAGGGAGGTCATCAGATTTTGGATAAGGTCAGTATGAACTTGCCAGAACAGGGGAAAAAAAATCCAGCAGGAATTAACCTATTATCACCTCCATCATCCATGTGAAATGTTGTCTGACTTTGAATTGTACATCCTTTGTTTACAATCACAATCATTAACTAAGCAGGGCAGAAATGAGCTTGTTCTCCCTCCAAATGGCTGACAACCACCTGACCATTAGACTTAAAAAGCATTTAAACTGAACATTTTTTTAAAAAAAGATCTTGTTTAAAGCTCAGCTATAAATACAATCAGACTATAATCACACAAAAATTTTAAGATTCTCATCTTCAAAAACAAGGCATATAATTCTAATTGACAAAAGGGGAAAAGACAGATGTGTGTTATTTTCTGCAGCAAAAAAGCCATATCCAATTTGTTTGAGCGAATGCTTATTGTACGGTATGAGTCATACTCTCATACCATAAATGAATAAACTCTTAATAAACCATATTACATTTAACCTCACAAACACTTTCCAAGGTAAGGTATCAATCATTTCCACTTAAAAAATGTACTAAGGCTCAAAAAAGTACTTTGTCCAAGGTTAACAGTTGATATATTATAAATATGGAAGTTGGACCAGGACTTGTTTAACTAGAAAGCCTTTGTCCTTAGTCATCAAATAAGCCTGGGTTCTACTTATAGAGTATATACGGTGCTAAATATATTAAATATAAGTTTTTAACATATATACAAAGTGATTTTTTTAAAAAAGGAAAAAAAACCTCTAAACTTTTAGCACATTCACAATGAGAAAACAACTGGTTCTCCTGAATAACTATACCTTTCATATATATAGGATATTTATCTCTCTTCATATAGCAATTGTTATATAAATAAAATTAATCCAAAGAGAATTTTTGTAATGTTGTGATTTATCCCAATAAATCACTTTAAAATTTTCTAGTGTTAATTTGCTGACGTGTGTATTCAATTAATTTCCAACTTTGACATATTTTATCAAAATATCTTATTTTCACTTCATAATACTTGTGCTATTGAAGATGAATGTTACTATTGTCAGGCCTTGTTTTACAAGAGGGAGGAACATGCTTTCCTTGTTCATTGACAATCAAAAGCAGCATTTGCTACTTAAATACAAATTATTCTCATTTCAGTAATACCCGCTGTCCACTACCGCGCCCATCGACATCCTACAATGATTAGAAGATACTGATTGTCCCTCTTTTGCCGGTTATACCCACAATGCTCTTGTTTTATAATTCTCCTAGATTCAAAACAAAATAATTTTAATGCCTGAATTTTAAGTGCTAGTTTTCTTCAGAGTTTTAAAATTTGGGAGATTGGTCACTTCTATCATAAATCAGAGATGCATATACATAGTAAACATATACAAAAATAGTACTCTTACCAACACGAATTTGAGAAAGCAGAAGGAAAAAATGACATTTCATAGCAATTGCCACAAAAATGAAGTTTTCAATCTTTCTAATATATAGCACCAAAATATTATGATTTTGTATATTTGTCCATATCTTCTACATCTATTATTTTATTCAGGTTACTCAACAAATTGACAAAAAATTTATTTGCTGAAAACAAATATTCTCCACAAGTTCTGTTTTTTTCATTCTCCTGGTTAAGAGACAGGGTCTCTCTCACTCTGTCACCTAGGCTGGAATACAGTAGTGGCACAATCATAGCTCACTATAACCTCAAACTTCACTCAATCTTTCCACCTTAGCCTCCCAAGTAGCAAGGACTATAGGAATATACCACCATGTCTGGCTAATTTTTAAATATTTTGCAGTGATGGAGTCTGACTATGTTGCCTAGGTTGGTCTTAAGCTACTGGCTTCAAGCTCCTCCGAGAAACATATTTTGTTCCTGGCCCAATTTATTTTTAAATACAAATTTATTATGAATTATTATGTTACCTTAATATTGACACCTTAACCTAAATATAAATTCAATTAATTTAACTAGAAATTAAATGGAGCCAAACCACCCATAAAACAAACCATAATTTTTTAATAAGTGATATGAAGAAAGCAATTTCAAACTTTCAAGTCTTTCAGCTACATAATTTCTATCATGCTGGGAAGGAGGTAGTAACTCATCAGTTTCCATTTAATTACTATGGATTTTATCTGTGATTTCGTAAGGAAACATTTTATGTAAATTTTGTGCAACAAGCATTGTAAACATATTTCAAAATTAAAAATCTAAACGCTAAAAATTAAAAAATTAAGCTTTCAACATTTCACTTGAAATTTATCAAGATATGAATTTGCATTTCACTCTATTTTTTTCTCCTCTCACTTCCTTCACCTAAATTTTAAGAGAGTAGTCAGGCATTTCCTGTTTTGAGAACATTTGCAGGGTCCAGAGCAGAGGCCTCTTGAAGGCATCTTCTATTCTTGTGTGAAACTCTAAGCAAACAGAGACTATATGATGTATCCAGGTGAAGGAAGAGTGCAATGTTAGTATTTTTAGACAGAGAAGCCAAAGAAGAAAGAGGCATAATTTTTTTACAGAGTAGGTAAGCAAGTTTCCAAAATCTACAGTTAGCTTTTTTTTTTTTTTTTTTTTTTTTTTAAACCCAGCCTGGGGGAAAGGAGAAGAGATGAAGAGGTTAGGCAGGAACCCAGAGGATAGGGAATGGTGAGAAGGTGACTATATCCCCATACAGTTCCTCTATGTGAATTAGAAAAAGGCAACACTTCTAGGCTAATGCAGCCCTAAGAGAATTCAGTTTGGGAAATGGAGCAAGTACAGGCTGGATTTTAGCTTCCATTCTTTCTCTCAATCAAGTGCCCTTTCATGGAAAACAATCTGCCTCCTGTACATGTGGCCCCATGCATGGTGCATACAGGGAAGCTAGTCTGTTGGCATCAGGGCTTTTGGTATCAGCAAATATTTTCTAACACTAAATTGGTATACTCAGCAGAGCTGCTTGCCTCCAAAAGATCATGTGTATCTTAGACAATAAAAATATGACTAATGATGATGATGATGGACTAAAGATGTGAAGGCCAATTTTCTAGGTATACATAAGCCTGGATTCTCATTTAAGCCTTGAGAAAAGAAGGTCCCTGCCCCACCCATCTAATAACTATGAAGGAATTTCTCACCAGCTTAATATGAGGAAGGGCTGAGTTCAAATTAGGATATTTCTTGTACACTTGAGTTGGTGGTTATAATTTTATCTCTATTTCAATAATGGTAAAAAGTTAGCAATATATTAACTGATAACGTATTTCTTTCTTTCTTTCTTTTTTTTAAGATGGAATGGTAGTAACTCATCAGTTTCCATTTAATTACTATGGATTTTATCTGTGATTTCCTAAGGAAATCTGTCACCCAGGCTAGAGTGCACTGGTGTGATCTTGGTCCACTACAACCAATGCCTCCTGGGTTTAAGTGATTCTCGTGCTTCAGCCTCCTGAGTAGCTGAGATTACAGGCACTCACCACCATACCTGGCTAATTTTTAGTAGAGATGAGGTTTCACCATGTTGGCCAGGCTGGTGTCAAACTCTTAACCTCAGGTGATGCGCCCACCTCGGCCTCCCAAAGTGCTGGGATTACAAGAATGAGACTCCAAGCCCGGCCATGATAGTATATTTCTAGTCCAGGCACCATGGCTCAGGCCTGTAATCCCACCACTTTGGGAGGCCAAAAGAGAAGGATGGCTTATTTCCAGGAGTTCACGACCAGCCTGAGCAACATGGCAAGACCTGTCTCTATAAAAAAAATTAAAAAATTTAGCTGGGTATGGTGGCATGGACCTGTGCCTGTAGTCCCAGCTATTCGAGAGGCTGATGTGGGAAGACTGCTTGAGCCCAGGAGGCTGCAGTGAGCCGTGTTCACACTACTGCACTCCAGCCTAGGTGACAGTGCAAGACCCCATCTCAAAAAAAAAAATACACATATATAATACATATATAATTACATATAAGCATATAACATATAAATATATGTATACATTTATTTATGTATACACTAACATATATAAATATATATATATATATACACACACAAAATGCAGAAAGAATTCAGTATGGGCAGAAATACAAATAGAATGTAAATGTTATTTTTTATTAAAAGAATCAAACTTATAAAAACCCCTCTTAATTATATGATTCAAACCTTATGTAGAAATGAAGGGTGATGTATCACATTATTATCACAAAAAAGAAAC